CCCCAGAGCAAAAAACCCGCATGAATGCCGTTAATAACACGCGAATTTCCCACGAATAAGCCTATTAACACTGCGCGAACGAGACAGTTTCTGACCCTTTGCCTTGAGGAGTAAGTATGACGGTTATCAGCTGCAATGGACGTAAGTTCTAACTTAGTCACCGATCTAGTGCACAGGCGGATATTTTTGCCCTGCTCTGCTCCCTCGGGCCAATTGTCGGCTGGCTCGGCAATAGTCTTTTTTCACCTGTACGTATACCTGTTCTTTACGCGCGTGCGCGCGCGTACTCATCGCTACGTATAGGAATGCACGCGAGAGAGAATGAATCATGCGCGAATTCAATTCTACGTTTTAACCTCACGGCGAGCGACACTCGCTGCGAGGCAACATTCGCTGTGGGTAACGCCTACGATGTGCGGCTGGCTAATGGGCTGCTGCTGCTGCTGCTGCTGCGCCAATTTTCTCGCAATTTCCGCGCCGCGTGTTTCTGCGTTTCTTTATAAAACGCCGTCGCTGTTCCGCCTGCCTGTGAGTGTTGTCCGTGCGGGAGCATCATCCCCCGTTCTGATTACGGTGCCTGCTCCGGTTGTCGCCGCTGCCCGACGCAACAACGACGACGGCACGACACGGCAGGTTTACTGTTTGCAGGTCTGGTGGGTGGTGTGGGGTGGCGGGGTGAGTCAATGTATGCTTGGCCGAGATAAGAGGAGACAGCAGGTGTCGCTTTCGCGGAGGTGCATGTGGGGCGGAAGTCAATTGTAGTGCATTGGCTGAAGTATGCGAGGAGAGCAGTAAGCGAGAGAGAGACGATGACGAGACGAGAGAGAGAGCGAGAGAGCGAGCGAGAGAAGAGACAGAGCAGCGAGAGACGAGAGAGAGAGAGCGAGCAGAGCGAGAGAATGAGACATGCAGAGACCGATCACGACGAGAAGAGCAGAGATGAGAGCGAGCCGAGAGAAGAGAGAAGACAGAGTAGAGACGAGAGAAATGAATGCAGAGAGAGAAGAGCGATGAGAGAGAGAGAGAGAGAGACGAGAGAGAAGAGCAGACAGAGAGCAGCAGTAGATCGAGAGAGCGACGCAGAGAGAGAGAGAGAAGAGTCACGTCCCGTGCGCGCCTCTCGTCTCTTTATGAACTTCCGCGTGAGCGATGAAACGCCCTCCTGGCTGCACCGTTCACTTTCGTTATGAGTCATCAATCCACGCAGCGCTGTGTCGCAGGCGGCTTCGTTGCCACCATCGAGGCCTCGCACTTCTCGCGTGCGTCTGGCTCGGCGCGCAGGCATGTTTTAATTAAAAGACCTATACATTAACCGGACGAAGATGGCTGAGGAGCACCGCCTGGCACCATGCGGGCGAGCGAGCGATGCGTTATTGCCGTGCCACACGTCCGTCGCCTGGCTTGATCGCCCCCTCCAGCAAGTTATATTTGTTGTTGCTGCTGTTCTGGTTTTTTCCGATTCGTTCTCCTGCGCGTAAAACAAACCTGTTCCAGCCGCGCGGGCCAAGCCTATTCATTCTTGCTGACGTTACAACGCTTCTCAGGTGATTTAGGTACAGTCTGACCACTTCGTTTAGAGCAAGTCTCGCCTCACCGTTCAATCATTATCACTATTAAATCTATATATTAATCACGCGATCATCATTATCTATGCTCGTTGTATTGGATTTCCAGACTATCTTTTCGGTATTACCTCTACGTAGATTGCATTTCTCTTTTCTTTCTATCGTAGTTCTTTACTGTCTACGGAGTTACTCTTCCAGCGAATGACGATGTTAATTGTTCGCGTCTAGGTACTTAGTTCGCGATGTATGACTTGACTCAGACTTATTACATTCTGAATTAGCCATCGTAATTTGAAACCTTGCCGCTAGCTTTAAATTGCGCACAGCTGTGCAATTCAGCGGAACACGATATTATTCTATCAGGTATATGGTTGCGGGTGTTCCGTTCGACAAGGAGGCTTACATAAGATTACCACCTGACTTTCACTCCCCCTCTCTCTCTCTCTCTCTCTCTCTTCTCCTCTCTCTCTTCTCTCTCTCTCTTCTCTCTTTCTCTCTCTCCTCTCTCTCTATCTCTCGCTCTCTCTCTCTCTTACTCTCTTCTCTCTCTCCTCTCTCTTCTCTCTCCTCTCTATCGCTCTCTCTCGCCTCTCTACTTTCTCTCTCTCTCTCTCTCTCTTCTTCTATCTTCATCTCTCTCTCTCTCTCTCTCTCTCTCTTCTCCTTCTCGTCTCTCTCTATCTCCTCTCTCTCCTCTCTCTCCGCTCCTCTCTTCTCTCTCCTCATTCTCTCACTCTCTCTCTCTCGCTCTCTCGCTCTCTCTTTCTCTCTATATCTCTCTCGCTCGCGCGCTCTCTCTCTCTCGCTCTCGCTCTCTCTCTCTGAGTCTGACTCTCTCACCGTGCATGCAGGTGTGAGCACAGTCAGAATTCGATTCGATAAATTAACAGCTAGTATTTCAGCCGTGGTCGGTATTACAGTATTTAGAGCTTGACTCAGCTTGTTGTAAGGTTATACTGTGAAATTAAGAAGCGATTATAGACCGGGCGCGCCGCTGTTAGACTTATCCCGCTAGTCACATAAATTGTGGGGTTGTATTACACGCCGCCGCAAAAACTCTTCTGCTGTCTTCCCCGCAGTCGATTTCGTCATTGTTTATTTATGCGCGCTGCCAAACTGCGAGGCAATTTATGAACTTTATTTGAAAGCAACCCCCCTCCACCCCCCTTCTAGCGAGTAGCTCATGTGATGTTAATGCTTGTCGATTTTTTTTCTATCCTTTTCGATTACAATGTGTAGTGTGGCGTGAAGAAATGCTTGGATGGCCGCGCGGTCATGAACGCTTGCATGATAAATGACTTGAAAGCACGCGTGCGGTGAATTCCAGGCCTAGCACTTGAAACATCAACTAGTCTCGGCCGTCAATGCCGCGTATGTGTTCACGGCAGTGTGTCGAGGCTCAACGAGGTGTCACCTTAGACCTCCTTCACAGTCTACTCTACATCCGACATATCGTGCTGTACCTGAAATTTTGTCGATCGCACATGTACATGCAGTAGGTTTCGACTCTCCCTCCCTTCTTTCTCTCTCTCTCTCTCTCTCTCTCTCTCTCTCTCTCTCTCTCTCTCTCTCTCTCTCTCTCTCTCTCTCTCCCTCTCTCTCTCTCTATCTTACTCTCGCTCTCTCTCATTCTCTCTCTATCTTCTTCGCTCTCGCTCTCGCTCTCTCTCGCTCTGCCCCGCATGTAGACACGTAGACAACATGAAGAAGACATGATTCCAGATTTGTTGTTCGGGCGACAGAGAGGTGTCGGTGTAGCGTAAACGCGCAGGGCTGGCAAGACGAGCGAGCGAGCGAGCGCACACATGTGGCCCGTCTTTTTATGACAGATTGCAACTAATACTACACGCATACATTAGACTTAGTAAAACATTTACACGCACCGCGCTCGGCAAAAACGTCGTCGTCGCCTTTTCTGCAACGTGGCATACACCAGCATCCCATCGCATCCACATGCGCGCGTTCGTGCGTGCGTGCGCGCGTTCGTGCGTGCGTGCGTGCGTGCGTTCAGTGCGACAGGCACTTGGAACGTCTCAATAAAAAAATAAAAAGGTAAATAAACACGAAATGTGTTTACTACCAAAGTCTTAATGTTTCTCTACTCTATTTTGCCTATAATCACTTGTAAATGCCGGTCAAATGCTCATCTGCAACACACAAGTACACCGCACGCTAGCTGTTACACACTGACACATAAATATATAGCTATATATAGCTAATATATAGCTAATATATATATAGCTATATATTTATGTGTCAGTGTGCAGATGAGCATTTAGACAGCATTTACAGGAAATTGTCGGCAATAATACTAATAGGTGAAAGAGAGTAGAGAAACATTAAGAGTTTCGGAGTAAATAGATTTTAACTATTAGTCGAATTTATTTAGCATTAAATTTTATTGAAACGCTCCAAGTGCCTGCACGGTTCGTGCGTACGTGCGTGCGTGCGTGCGTGCGTGCGTGCGTGCGTCAGCCGGCGGCGGCGGCGAAAGCTCGTGCGTTTTAGCATCTGCGAAGCCTTTTTTGATTGATGCTGAGAGATCGGCTGGATGTTGCGTCATCGGGGTATACTCGTTAACGCTAATTAAGGGAGCTCCTCCCCCTCCCACCTCCCCTTCGACGGCAATTGATGCTGTCTGCGAGAAGGTCGATATAAGAGGAAACGAGAGGGACGGTGAAAGAGGAAAGAAAGAGAGTCGATATAAGAGGAAACGATAGGGACGGTGAAAGAGGGAAGAGAGAGGGTAGGGGCTTATCGAAAAGCCGGGAATAACACGGGTCAACATAGCACTGTTTTTACCCCCTTCTTTGTGTCCTCGCGTCACCCCTGTGCTCCACTTGTGTTTCTCCGTGTCGAGCGTAGGCCTACGCTAACAAATGAAACATGTAGAGTATGTTTCTCCACAACTACAACAACAGCGCGCGCGATCATACGCGAGTTCACTCGCATTTTTCATTTGATTATCCGAGCAATTTTATTTTGACAGCCTGTGTGGTATGCTTATCTTACGCGGGGACCCATTTCGATCTCACAACTTCCCAGTGGAAAAAAAGATAAAGCACTAGAAAATATTCCCAGTATTTCCCGGACGTTGCCTTTATTATTGCTGGATGATAGCTATTATCACAAGTACACGACAAGTGTTTGTTTTACAAGTTTCTCTTGCAGGCCGGGGTGTGGCTTGATCGCCACGTGCTTTTGATAGACAGCGCCTCCTGGAGAACGTGATTGGCACCACACGGAGCTTCGCCTCAAAAGAGCAAATGTTCAATGGCCCGGCACGGCGTCTGATTGGCCAGAACAGCCTGTTTGAACTAATACGCGCGCGTGGTTGGTCAGAATCTTGATCATAACTAATAAGCCCACGTGCGTGCCTAACCACAGCTGCCGTGTTTATAATATGGCCAATCAACGGCCGCCATATTTGGAAAGCTGTATTTGCTTAGCTCCTTTGTGTAGGCTTGTGTGTGTGGCATTTTCAGAAGGTGTCGCGTCGTGTCTGAACCGCGCTAGCTGTTCTCTGCCGAAAGTCGGCGTTGGTTATCCCTCAACGGACGGTGTTTAGAGCCCCGATACCGGAATCGATACGTGCGTTCGATCGACCATCGATAATCGCCGTCTTGTGGATTCGAACTCGTGGAGTAGCCTCGGTGTTGTGGATCAGCGATCGTAGCAGCAGCAGCAGCGTCGAGTGTAAAATCTGGTGGTGCGCGGGTGCCACGGACACAAAGGAACGACAGACACCGCGCCCCGTGTGTGTGTGTGTGTGTGTGTGTTGGGTTGATACAGCATCAGCAGCAGCAGCAGCAGTGAGTGAGAGAGCGCCGCTTCGTATAGCGGTGGCGGTGGTATTGTGACGAGAGCAGGAGATGTATCCGAACAGACATCCCGTGAGCCCGGTAGGAGTAAGTAGACCATATACGTGTATATGTAGATAATACTAATAGTTTATGTGTGTGTGTGTGCGTGTGTGTGTGTGCGTGTGTGTGTGTGTGTGCGTGTCCGTATGGATGTGCGTGCGTGTGTGGGCGCGCGTGTGTGTGTATGGGGAGGGGGAGTTGTGTGTGTGTGTGTGCGCGCGCGCGTGTGTGTGTGTGTGTGTGTGTGCGTGTGTGCGCGTGCGTGTGTCCGTATAGATGTGCGTGCGCGTGCGTGTTTGTGTGTGTGCTCGTGCGTGTGCGCGTTTCGCTGTGTGTGCGGGCGTGTGCGTGTTTCTGTGTGTGTGCGTGCATACGTGCGTGTATATATGTGTGTGTGCGCGCTTGTTTGTGCTTGTGTGTGTGTGTGTTCAAACACGAGCACCTACTAGTAGTAGGAACCTATACCCTGTGGCTGTAGTGTAGCAACAACTCTTCTGTGTGTGCCTGCACGTACACGACGCCATGTTTCTAACGCATTTCATAAGTAGAGTCGTCGTTTCTGCGAGTACGTACGTATCTAGGAGTAGCATTTCATTTCATTCGAGCCCAAGTGCCACATCGCACCGAATATTGCACTAGTACTAGCAGAGCTCTCCACAGTCAGTCAGTCGTACACTGAAACGAGTACAGCATGCGCGCGCGCGAGCTGCTGCTACTGACCTTAGAGTGGTAGAGCCAGAGTCAGACTGTAGTGCTGTCAGTAATATCCTCTCGTCCACCCCCTCCTCCCTCACTCCCCATGGCAGCTGCAATAACGCGCATGCCTGCCACAAGCTGTCTGCAGTTTAGCATGTGCAATGTGCATAGTGCATAACATCAGAACATGATACCGAACATCGGGCAAGAACGTGAAGGGTGTGTTTATTACGTTCCACGTTTATATTTCCGCTATAAACAGTATAAATTAACTTGTCTGATCGCGCGCTAGCATAGACTCTGTCTTGTCTTTGCGTACACCCTCCCCCCCCCATCACCACCACTACCCCCGAGGCGCTATTTTCTGATGTTTACGTAAACTGAATGTATCCAGCCGCGTTACGCTGTTCATTATGTTCGGAGCTTTTCTCAACATCGAAGCTTCGACTGCTCCCTCCCCTTCGGCTCAAAGCTGCCTGTTCTGTGTCAGAGGAATATTCTCACGAAAACGTTCCGATACTGCTCGGACAGTATGACAGGAGCTTTTCTCAGCATCCACGCCTCGGCTGCCCGCCTCCCTCCGCCGCAAAGCTCTCTGTTCTGTGGGGAATCTTTTCAGAAAACGTTCGGATACTGTTCAGTATGGCAGAACTTTTCTCAGCATCGAAGCAACAACTGCGCCCTCCCCCCCCCCCGCCTCAAAGCTCTGTGTTCTGTGAGGAATCTTTTCGTGAAACGTTCCGATACTACCCCCCTAAAACTCTCGGTTCTGCGAGGAATCTTTTCGTGAAACGTTCCGATGCAGCGATGCTACTGCGCACACGCGTGCGTGTTCATCGTTCGCTGCTGTTCTTCTTGATCCCTTCCCGTCGATTTTCACGCGCAGGCGATGCAGGTGGTGTGAGTGAGCGAGTGAGTGAGCAGCGCTCGAGGTTTGAATACAATACCCGATCCGCATCGTGTAATTGCACCCGGGCTGTCAGACCCCTCTACTATTAGCCATCCCTCCCCTCCCCTGCGTGTCAGGCTTGCGTTAGGGGGTCTCCGATTCACAATGATTGGGTTCGGATTAAGTCAGGGTGACTGGTGTGGGCTTAGTGTTATCGATAGATGTATGTACTGTAGTACTGTAGCCTTCGTCGCTAGGGTGGGGGTGGGGGAGGGGGATAAGTGCTGGTACTAGGTGAGGGATAACGTTAGGATGTTGTTGATGATGATGAAGTATGAACACACAGAGGTAGACTGAACTCTCTTCGTAGTCGATGGGGAACAACTTGGAAATGGGTGGAAGAACCCCACGCTTTTGAATCTGTTAAATGTCACGCGGAAACTGGTAGGTGTGTGTCCCACGGAATATTCCAGAAACCAGATTTCTCTCTGCTGTACATCAACGTACTTGCTCATTCTATATATACCCCTCTCTCTCTCGCTCTCTCTTTATATTTATACTTTTTTATAGCCGATACAAGCCTATGTTTGCACCCCGGATTTTAATGATGCGTTAGGGATTCAGATAGGATTAAGGGGTTAGGAATAGGATTATAATGATGATGATGATGATGATGATGATGTTGATGATTTTTCTACCGGAGTCCCAATCTAAGATTGAGTATTTTTTCGACTTGTACTGTACATCCCTCCTCGAAGTGTACACGACCTCAATCGTTCATACAGCTATCATCTGTATATATATGATCAAGAGCGTATAAAGAAGAGCGCTTCTTTATACGCTCTTGATATGATGTATCATCTACTAGCTGTATAGTGGCAAAAGTACGTGTAGTGGTATTGTGTAGGCTTGTTAAGTTTGAGCAGATTGAGGAAGATTGGGCGGAGGGGGTTGAGCAGGGGGGGCGGGGGGGGGGGGGCTGATCTATGGTCTAACTGGATAACAAACCTCATATCTTTGTTGTTGTTTTATTCTGGCAGGCACCGCACCAACCCGGGCAGCCGTTCAAGTTCACTGTTTCGGAATCATGCGACCGCATCAAAGAGGAATTCAACTTTTTGCAGGCGCAGTATCACAGGTTCGTATCACATGCCGTCGTCCGTCTGCGTTAGTGTCACGAGACTACAGCTTTACGCCCCCCCCCCACCCTCACCACAATCGTACCCCACCTACCGCATTGTGTTGGGCCGTATCTCGGGGGCCTTTGCGTCAAGTGATTGCGCCGCTGGCAGCTCTCATGCACCTTTGCGTGCTCGGCGGCTTTTAGGTGAGACGTGGTGATTGGCGAGTGCAAGGGCTGACGTGAGAAACCTTCCGCAGAGCAAAAAACCCGCGATGATGCCGTAATACGCGAATTCCTCCACGAAAAGCCTATTAACGCCGGCGAACGAGACAGTTTTGACCTGCCTTGAGGGGGTAATATGAGGGTTTATCAGCTGCAGACGTATAGAGTACCGAAGTGATGACGTCACGGTGGCATGACAACGAGCCTGCTGGTTCTACACAATCATATGCTCTGGTAACATTAACTACGTGTCGTGTTTTGTACCCGATTGTAACCATCATTCTGAGAGTCATTATTGCAGTTGTTATAGATTTCCAAAGGATGGAAGTG